TCGGTCGATGCTCGCAGCTCTGTGCTTTTGTGGAATTTTTGTCCCTTTTTCCTCTTCGTATATTCGAATCTTTGCTGCATCTCGTTGGTCTTGTTCTGGGCCATGATCCACTCATCGCTCTGTCCTCGTTTACCTTTACGAGATATCCCTCCTTCCCCAACCATTTTTTCTGGCCGTGCCATGTTTGGTCTTCTTTTGCTCTCTCGTTCTTCTTTCCTGCTGCCTCGCTCCTTCATCTTCTGCGTCTGGCGTTGAGACCATCGGCTAGCGACAGCCACTTCCTCTCCAAACTGCACCTTTCCGTTTCTGCCCCCAAAGGATCTGTCTGTGGTTCGCATTACGCAGTGCATGATGTTGGCCCCAACGGTGTACTGAGGATGGAGACGGCCCCCTCCCCTCCCCATTCGGAGCACTACCTTTTTGTGTCGTCCTCTCTGGTCTTTCAGAAGTAGGTTGGCATTCAGCTCTATCCACACTCGTGCCACACTTGTGAGGCTAAACAAGGACAGGGGCGGCAGTGACGAGACAATTTACATGTATCTTTGCGCCCTTTAGCGGGCTACCCGTCAAAGCAAATTGCACAAAGTCTCGTCAACGACAGACAAGAGCAGCCAAGGGGGAAGCAAAGATAAAAAATGGGGCCACAAACATGTTCGAGACCAAACGTGGACCACAAGTTCACTCTGGTTCGTTTCTGCCATGTTCTATGTGAACTCCATACAGACTAACAAGCTCTGTCCTTTCCATCGCTGGCGCCGGCCTGCAGTGTACAAAAGAGGCATTCGCCCGGCCGTGGATCCAGCCCTCGCACCTAGGGCCGGTCAGATCTTTTGCATCTTCTGAGAAAGCCCGTCGTTTCCAGTATCCTTTTACTCGTCTTATTTTCTTTCCACTGCCCCGCCCTTCCTCCCCTTTCTTGTCCCGTCCGTTTTTGACCTTTTGTCCAAGGGGATCGCCCGGCCAAAATATCAACCCGTGCGGCAACCCCCCATCAGACTACGGCGCCTATTTTCTGCAAGGCAAGTTAGGCGGGAAATGGCGGACGAAGCAGAAGCCATGAACCATTAAAAAATGGAGATCAAAACACGACGACGCAACAATGCCGGCGTACTCCGTATCCTTTTTGTCAAACTCCAAACTATCAGCAAGGAATCAAGGGGGGTGCTGTTGTCTTTCTTCGTTTCTGTCCACACCACAGGCTGTGTACTATTTTTGAGTTGTTTTTGTGTTGATGTCCGTGACATCCCATTGTATCTTACTCGGCATTTTTCCGATAGCGGGTGGCTGCACTGTTCAGCTTCTGGGGTAACAATTTGGCTGAGGCCTGTGCGTGCCATCTCTGCCTTTTTTTTTTTGTTGCTATTTTATTTTCTCCCCCCTGTCAGCCATCATCGTCCCATGTGCTTTCCCCTAGTCTCTAAATACTGACACTTCAGACATCATACACCCAAGACACTGTCAACGTTCAACACCCCCCACCCCCAGGCTCTCCTGCCTCCTACGACGTAATACATGGACGGAGTATTACATTTCAAGCCTTTTTCCCAGCCCAACTACTACGCCACGCCCACTCACACACATGGCCGCCAGAACGGGCCCCTCTTCCGTGTCTCTCGGGCCATCTCGATGATCTCCCAATTAGCGTAGTGTCTCAGCAGCCGTCAGGTTTTGTGCAGCCTCTCCTTAATTGTGTTTTTTTTTTTTTTTTTTTTTTTTTGCTCATTTTTGCCGCATTTTCAGGCGGTTTTTTTTTTCATTTATTATTCCATTATTATTTATTCTGTCATACGTGATTAGACGCCCCATCCCTACAGGCTCTCACGCTAACATGGCTAGCCTACACTACCCTCTCTACCTCGAGCTGTTGGTTCTCACCTCCGTCAAACTGCCTCGCCTCGCTTTTGTCCATGTCGTCCCCCCTTTCTTCATTCTACTTCACCGTGACTGGTGGATGTTTCTTCTCGCTTTTGTTATTTTATTCACTGTCTCCGTATCCTCTTCCTCCGCCGCCCGTGTCCCCTAACCCGATATGTCCTCTCGTCAGGGACACTACGTTGATACGGTCTGTTGGTCCTCCGTAGGACCACTGCACCTCCCAGTCGCGTCTTCCCTCCCTCCTCACCATCTCAGCACGAGCGTCTACTCCCGGTTGCGCAGATTGCTTCTCTAAATGGATCCCTGCTTGTCTCTTCTCGGCTGTGGTCTCCACCATCCACCCTGGCTGCCTTCCCATCTGCCTTTTTTTGTCTTGGGCTCCCCACTGTCTTTCGTCCTGGTGGCCCCAAAACCGCTCCGTCAAAAGTGTTCGGCTCCGGCGTTTACACAAAGACATTTGCTACCAGGGTGCCAATGTAACTGGAGACCGTTGTAGCTGCTGTGCAGGGGGCCATCTGGCGTGGTTTGTGCGAGGGGAGAGTGGGAGACAAATGCAGAACAAATTTCGAGAAAATAATCAGGACTGCCTTTTCGAGTCAAACATGTCGTTGAACAGAGAAATGCAAGAAAAAAAGAAAGAAAGAAAGAAACTAAAGCTGAAGGCATGCCAATGCATACGGCTGCTCGCACTTGGGGGCAGGAGCGAGAGAGGATACAGGAGGGGCAAGTGGTCTTCGTAAGGACTACCGCCCAAGGTGTATTGAATTCAAGGTCGCACTTCCCCTGGCATACTACGTTTAGTAACGATCTGTTGGTAGCAAAGGGAAGGAACCGCGATTGGGGGCCTTGGACGTGAAGAAGTGGAAGGCACGATGGCCACGGCAGAGCAAGACCAACAGCGCAATATTGCGGCTGGGAAGGAAAGAACGAGCATGGCATGGACGGTGGAAGGCACAGAAAATTCCAGGGTGAAGACCAAGTAATTACAACATACAACCATCATCGCAACCCCCGTAGTTGAGCTCTACGCATGGTAGCCATAACGGGCAGGCTGCCCTGGCTTCCCTTCGATAGGTGCCTCTTGCCACGCGGTGCATCCAGTGCTGCCGTCGCTGTTGGGGGCCGCCGCAGTTGCTCTCCTGAAGGTCGTCCCTTCCTAGTTTGGCGCTTGGCCTCTTTTTTTGGCCGTTTGTCAGTTAAGTCCCCCTTCCCTCCTTCCGCCTTCTACGATGTACGACATACCTCTTTCCTTCTGGCTTTGTCTTGACAGTGTGGCTCCTTCCACAAGCTGCATGTCGGTATGTACTTTCTTGCTCACGCGTCGTGCGTTTCATGCAGCCTCTTCTCGGCTCTCCGATTCCCCGTCTCCATTTTTCTTCCTTTGTAACATTTTCTTCTATTATTCTACTACTACAACTACTATTATTATTATAATTATTTTTGCTTCTTCCACCAGCTATTCTTTGACTTCGCCGATCTCATCCTCGAGCCGTCTCTCAACCTCCCATGTCTCCCTGGTCCCTTTTACTGCCCTGACTCGGGAAACACCCCCAACACACTCTCTGAACACCCCCTTTACTCTCCCTTCCACACGCCCGTACTTTGCGCTCTTCTACATGCTCTCACATCCTCGGGCGGCCTGATCTACGGGCCTTTGTATGCCTCTCTCCTCTTCACGCCTCCGGTGCGCCAACGCCATACGCCAAACTCCAACACACGCCAACGTCCTTTCGCATGTCAGTGTCTGTCCTGTTGCAACTCACACGCTGGCGTCGGATAGGCCCTACGAACGTACTTCGTAATGTCGTGGTCTTCTTCCCGTTTATTTCTCATCGTCCCACACCCTCCACTCGTGCTCGTGCAGCCTGTCCCGTTGATACTTTGACATCCGTAAGGATAATCAAACATCGAAGAAGGGGACGAAAAAAAAGGAAGAAAGTGGGCGAATCGTATTCGTTTTTTGTCAAAAAAGTAGGGAAAACCTGCATGGCATCGGGCGTCTTTTCTCGCTTCTCTTCTGTCCTTCCCTTGATATCGGATCCTCATAAGGCACTCTTCGTCCCGATGGTCTTTATTTATTCGAAAAGAGACCTTCAAGTTTCGGTTTTCATTTCCTCATCTCTTCTTTCTCGACTTTCTCGACATTCTCTGCCAGACTCCCGTTCCTCGGCTCATCTGGCTCGCCATCCCTGAACGTTTAAGACCTCAAAAGTTCAACAAGAATCATCCGCTACCAACTTTGATAGTTTCAGTTTTTCTTACACGCTTTTTCTGTTTACTCCAGAGAACCAACAGGCAAATTTCAGCTTGATCGGCTGCAAGTTCTTGTCTTCTCGTCGAGTCGGCTGAAACTTGTCCACGACCCGTCGCTGTTTCCCTTGCATCTTTCACACTTCTATTCTCCTTTCACCCTTCGCCTATTTTGCCCTTCTCTACATGACCAACATTTATTGATTCCTGACACTTGCCGGACTGGCTTTCTATTTTTACAATATTGTTACAGCTATCCAGACATCTGCTGATACCCAATTCCAGCCAGTTTGCTACTTCTATTTTTTGATCCATTTGTTTCAGCTCGTATTTCAGGGAGGCTTGTTTCTTCTTTGTTTTTTTTTTTTTTTTTTTTTTTTTTTTTTTTTTTTTTTTTTACTTGTGGCACCTTGGATTTTGCCTCGCATTTCTATTTTCGCTTATGAAACTTTTCGCGTACGTTTTTGTTAACTTCTTATTCACTTATTTTCATATATTCCGGGGTGTTATGCTAGCCCAGCCTCACTTCTGACTTGCATTCTTGCAGCTGCCAGCTCTTCTGTGCCGGTCGGTTCCTGGCCTCCGCCCCCGACCATCCCACACCTTTATCCCTTCCTCCTAATTTTTATTCTATTCTGCTGCATCGCACCCTTTGGATGTTACGTTTTTTCTCACCCCCCAGTTTTATTTTTGTCCCCTGAGATACCCTTTCTTCCGCAGCTTGTTTATTTGCTTCGGCTCATCTTCTTGTCCTACGACCTACTGTTGAACGAGCTGTGTTGTTCCTTTTTTATTTATATTCTATTTTGTCACCGACTGTCTAACCACAGCTGTCTCGCCGATCTTCTTCTTCTGGCCTCCGATCCGCCCTCATCATGTCGTCACTCAAATACATTCTGGGCGATAACGAGGATGAGTATCATCCGCCAACCCACAGTCTGTCCTCCTCGTTTCTATCTTTTCACATCTGCAGTCCTTTTTCTGTCCTGGCCTTTCCTCCCCCTTCCCCCTCGCTTCTCTTCTGCCCCTTTGTGGTTTCGGTTTATTTTTAAACTTTACATCTTCACTTCGACTCGTCCTTGCCTTCATCGCCTCCCTTTGCGAGGACACTAAAACTAATATAAAGGGCCATCGTCTGCCCTATCTTCATCAGACTCGCATGGCACAGAAGGGACATCAGCACACGCCAACACATCGACCCTTGTCTACCGAGGAAGCAACAACAAACCAGGAAAGTCTAGCAAGCCCGGCGGTAGCAGCAGTAGCAGCTCATCCAAGCCATCCGGTTCCAGTTCAAAGACCGTCCATCATCATTCCTCCAAGGGCAAGTCCAGCAGCAAGGGCAAGCACAAAGCTGCCGAAGACGACAACCTTGACGACGTAGACGACTACGACTACGACCAATCCTCCACCCAGCTCGCCATGGACTCTGGCGCCGAGTACGGTTCCTCTGCGGAGGGTCAATACTACCAGCAGTCACATCATGGCCACAGCCACCATGGCCATCACGAACATCATAGCCACCATGGTCATCACGGAAGCAACCGAGGTGGCCACGGCGGCTATTACATGGACCCTAACGCTGGGGCCGGTTACGCACATATGCAGGATACTGCCGTCATGCACAACGCCGGTGTGGCCATGGACGGCTCCTACGAAGCCGCGTCTATTCACCAATACGGCGCCATGCACGGCATGGACTCATCTTCGATGTCGGCGCACGGCGACATGTCTGGGCACTACGGCGGCATGGTTGGGTACGCCGATCATAGAGACACCAGCTATACACCCATAACCCGTCGTCAGAGTCGAGCGCTGAAGGGAAAGCCTGTCCACGTCTGTGACAGATGTGAACCTCGCCGTGTGAGTCTCCCAAATACCATTTCCGTATTTGTTTCCGCTCTCTACTAACAGTCGTTTAGACTTTCACGCGAGCCGAACATTTGCGGCAAGTCTACATGGCCCAACACCCCGTTTCGCGACACTTAGGAACCTGCGCGTTGACTAACATTCAGAATGCTCTATAGCCGCCACCAGCTCAGTCACGACGAGCCTCGCCATATGTGCACATACCCCGGCTGTACCAAAATCTTCTTTCGCACCGATCTCCTGCACCGGCACCAACAGAAGCAGTATGTTCCATTCCTGCCCTCCCTCCCCTTTCCATACTTTGCGCCTGAAGAGTGTGGTTCACGACGAGCTTGATCCTGATGTGACAAAGACATACATGGAGGATGGCCTCCAACGGAAGCGGCTCAAACGACAGTACTGACTGGCGCAGTAGCAGTGGGGAAGAGATGCCGCAAGACGCCGACGACGGAGAGGCCGGACCATCAGGTCGTCGAGGTTCGTCCCAGGCGAGCGATTCCCCGGGCGGGAGTTGGGCCGCCACAGGAGCAGTACGGAGCACCACCTATTTTTCTTTGTCAAAAGGGACCCCGGGAAGCAGGAGTGATAATAACCATGACAGTAGTACTGATCCCGACATGGGCGAGACCCCCGCAGGCCGACGTAGACGCCGTCGACCATCCAGCGTGGGGAGAGGTGATCCCAAGGGTCACAGCGGGGATGGACGGAAACGCACTATTCGATCGGAGGGGAAGACGAAACCAAAAAACCAAGACGACAAGCCACATCCAAGCGACAGTCAAACACTCGGCGGGCAGTCGAACTCGCCGCAAACCGTCCGAACGAAGGATCTCAGCACCTACTATAAGAAAGGGAAGGATACCAAAGGACGGGAGAGTGGTCAGGACAGAAAAACAAGGACTGTCGGCAAAGCACAAGGCGTGGACCTTCACAGTGTCCTGGTCGGCGCTGCAGCCAGCAGCGCCGACCAACTGACCTTTCACGAAGAAACGGCACCTGAAACCCACCCGATGAGCAGTATTTCACCTCCTGCTGGCGACTTGCGACCGAGGGACGGAGCCCAAGACAACCCCTGCGCACAACCTCGGCACCCCGGCCCCTATATGCATACCCAGTCGTTGCAGACTCATGCCGGTATCTATAGTCGTCACAATCGCAATCACACGGTGCCCGACGCAGGTTATGATGAACACCAGCAACTCTCGCGCTTCAATCATCAATACCACCACAGCGATCCGTCCTCGGCCATTGGGTTGTCTCTGTCAAGCAGCAGCTTGGCACACGACATTGCCAGCCATAGCAGCACAGCTGGCCCCATGCCATTGCCTCGCACCAGTATGGCGGGATCGAGTACAATACCAATCGACGACACAGAAGGCATTGGCCACCCTCTACCCGTGTCCTGTTCCATGGCCTCTGGCGGTTTTGCTGTTTCTACCAACAGCAACGGTCTCGGCCCACTACCGCCGTCTGCACACGGCTATGACCCGATACCGACGCACTTTGTGTATGAGCATCCTGTCAGTCCGCCCCCCGGCCAAGGAGTCTCGTTTGCCTCAGAAAGTGTGCCACCGCTCATGGACTCCGGTCTGCCGCGCGACTATATGCCGCTCAGCAGCAGCTCTAGCCTCCGCCACATCGATGGCGCCAGCAGCTCGGGTAGTTGGACAACCTCGTATACACTGTCCTCATCCGTCAGTTCGTCTGCCAGGCATGGCTGTACCACAATTGACGATCTGTAAGAAGGTGGTGGTGAGCTATTTCGGAGGGGTGCTCAAGCAAGGTATCATCAGTTGGGAGTTGGTCCGTGCCTTTTTGTGTATATTTCACATGCTGGCAAGAGTGAATAAGTCGGAGGCTAGTTGACCGTTCGCGAGGACAACTAATGAGGAGGAAGGCTCTTTTACGGACAGAACGACTTTTCAGAGCTTGCAGGTCAAGGGGGGGATCTCACATATATGTTGTATTTATTTATGTTGACGTTGGTGGCTGGCCTGCACTTGGTCGTCCTATTTTTACTTTTCTTTTTAATATAGTTGCTTGTAGGGGTATTTATGGCTGTTCTGCGATGCATTGATGCGCGCGGCAGAGTGCAGCAAACCGGCAGCACTCTAGCCCGCCTGGCAACCGCCAATGTGAGGGGGCCAGTCGGCTTACTGGATCGGGGCGTCTTAGCGCTGTGCTTGTTGCAGGGGCCTAGCTGTCCGAAAGCATTGGGGGCGACACGAGACCAGCTCATGACAGAGACAGTCTGTGCGCCGTGCCTGATGCTCGCCCCTGACGCAATTGAGCAGGGGAGAGAGGGAGAGCAAAGGGGAGCGCAAATGGCTTGATAAGGTGCTTGCGTTTTGCGGCAGGACAGGAAGTCACAAGGCTTCATCGCAGGTTCAGCTTGTTGTAAGATATTGTCTCGCAAAACAAAAACGAGCCGAGAGAACGATCTCCAATCGCAATTGCGTCTTCTCACTGGAATCACTGCCTTGGGCCTGCCTGAACACCACCGGCGGCGCTAAACCGGCTGACAGGTCGCTCTTTCGTCAGCGTAGGCTTTTGGTCGGGCCAAGACAGGCCCTGACTTCCTGTTTTTGCTCAGATTCCGTAATTGCCCATTTCCAGGATACTCCATACGAATGTAGAGGGCAGGCGTGTTCTCGGTGTAGCTTCCTTTTAGCGCCGTTTCCATGGCCATTTCTTCAAGAGAGCAAGAGCAACCAGGCAGAATGCCCCGGTTTTCGTCTGATTTGATATGCCCAAGCTCCTGCTTTTTTCGCCCAATTTACGACGCCTTCCCCCCCGAGGCCCCCCTCAGGCTAAGCAAAAAGCGTCTCCCTTTGTTTCGATAGCTTTCCGTGACGCATGGGCAGCTTCCCTCTTTGTTTTCAGTCCTCTTTCCCTCTTTTCATTCTCGTCATCCGCACTCGCATCTGCCATTTTTGCTTCACTTTTTTTCTCCCCAACAAACAACCATCTTCCCGCTCCTAAACCACCAACAAACCGTCTCAGACATCCCGTTGCATTGAAGCTTTTACGCACCAGATTGGCTTTCGTATTCTTCCATTCTCCCGTACCAATTCGACATTCCATTGAAACAAATCAAAAAAGTAAGTACGAATTAAGCCGCCCCTTCTTCTCCGCAGCTGCTGGACCGAGCATTCAGGAAAGCGGTGAACAGAGAGAAGGAAAGCCACGGCCACGGCGTTGGAACACCGAAAAGGTGCTCGAAGACAAGAAAGGAGAAAGCAAAAAGCTGGTGCGCGTTGGCACGAGCTTCGAGAGTAGCCATGCCTTCTGCCAGTCAGGAGTTGCGTGGCAAGCAAAGTGAGACAGAAGCTCACCCTGCCAGCCTGCTGCAAGCTGCAGAGAAGCCCTGCAGGTCCTCATTTCGTGCTCGCTGGCAGGTTCCGCCTCCGCTTCGATCCCGGTCGCTTTCCCCTCCTCTCTTCTTGCAGGCTGTCTCGGCGCACGGTCCAATCCTTGATCACTCTCGTCTTTCTCGGCGTCGGCTTCGATAGCTAACCAAGCAACCTCGTTAAACAGAAACCGTTACGACGAAACCTTTGTCGTTCTTCTTGCAGCTTCGACTGCACTCGTCCCTCCTGCCCGTCCTAGTTTCCGCCGCGCACAGCGTCCGCTACCGCCGGCAGCTTTCGAACGCATTCGCAGCTTATCCGTCGCCACCGCAGCAGCGTCTTCGACAACCAACTCTCTGCGCCAACGTCCCAATTCACCAGCGTCGCTGCTCCCCATCCACTCTTAGCACACCCATCTGCTGTTCGACGCCTACAGTCAACATGGGCAGCTTTGTTTTCATCTGGTACGCATTGTGTCGCAAGCCGGGGCGTCCGGGTTGGTGGCCGTGAGGATGGACGACTTTGGGAATTTTGCTGCCTAGTGAACAGAATGCTGACGAGATTTTGTTTTTCCTCGAACAGGCCCAATGCCGGCAACGAGGTCTTTGTGACCGGCACGTTCGACAACTGGTCCAAGTCCGTCCAGCTCAAGAAGGTTGGCGACGTTTTCCAGAATACTGTTGAGCTGGGCAATATCTCGAAGAAGATTTACTACAAGGTATGTGATTGATGGTTGGTCTCAGCCGTTTGACACCTGCCACGCGACATTTGTGCGTTGCGAACGAATCACCCGTTTCCCAACGGGATGGTCCCCTCGCTTGTTGCCTGAGCTGGCCTCCCTTGCTTTACTGCACTTTCCCCTGCCCAGCCCCTTTTGCAGTCACCTTGTCTTTTTGTTCCTCGCTTTGGCTCCTGTCAAGTTTCTTTTTTTTTTTTTTTTGTTATGTATGGTGCTTGCCTCTACTCTTCTCCAATTGTCTCCCAAACGGCCTGGCCAAGCCGGTCAGCCTTAGGCAACAATAAATCTGCCACCGCCTGGCGTCTCTCACCAAACGAATGCGGCCTTAGTTTTCGCAAAGATGCCAAAACGAGAAGGGCGAGCGGCCTCAGCCAACCTGCCTGTCTCACCCATTTCTTTCTTTTTGTGCAGCCGAGCGGAGACAATGACGCAAGGTCTGCAGACTGGCTCGAGCCTAGCGCAGAATGTGGAGGTCAGCGCCCATTGGCAGGAATCAAGGCTTGGTCCAGAGGCTGGGCGAGCCTGGCCCGGCCAATTGACCCCTCTCCGCCGACCTCGTCGCTAAATAAACGATCACCTGTGACAAAGGTCGATCGATCTCGTTCTTGTTGCTAGACTCGCCAGGCTTTGTCTACTCGACTTGCAACCAGCCGAGAATTACCCTGCACCGCCCTTTTTTTTTATCTATTGGCATTGCCCCTCTTCTGTTTCCTCGCTTCCTTTTCTCTTTTGTTTCCGCTTTTTGGGGGCTCCTTTGTTACGCTACAATCGCTTCAACTTCGTCGTTTTGTTACCAATTTATTTGCCCTGTGCAACCCACTTGGTTCAGCGTACGTACTAAACAATCTCTCTTCTTCTCCAGTTTGTTGTCGACGGCGAGTGGGTGCTTGATCCTGCTGCGCCCAAAGAGAAGGACGAGGAGGGCAACGTCAACAACGTTCTGACTCCCGAGAACATCGTCGCCACGCCAGCCTCTGCTGCTGTCATCAGCTCTGCCGCTCCTACGGCTACTACGTCCCAGCTCGCTGCTGGTGTTCCCGTCAAAGACAAGGCTCTTGACGCCCCTGTCTCCATCCTACCCGTGACTGAGGCGCCTATTGTGGCTGGCGCGACCCCTGCATTTGCCAGTGCTATCAGCTCGGCCGCTCCCCAGTCCTCTACCGCCCAGCTTGCAGGCGCTGTTCCCTTGGAACCAAAGGCTGTTGACACCCCTGTCGCGACCCTTCCCGTCAAAGAGGAGCCCGTTGCCGCCAAGGAGACCCCCGCCTCATCCACCGTCATCAGCTCTGCCGCACCAGCGTCCTCTACTGCTGCTCTCGCTGCCGACGTTCCTCTGGAAAAGAAGGACGAGACTCCGACTTCCAAGGAGACTTCCACCGCTACCGATATCGCCGCGCCCGTTACTGCCGCTGCCGCCGGTGTTGCTGCTGTTGGTGCCGCTGTTGTTGCTACCGCCAAGGGTTCCGCCGAAGACGCAAAGAAGATGTCCGGTTACCAGACCGATGATATTCCGGGGACCTTCCCCGAGACCCCTGCGAACGAGCTTAACAAGGAAGTCAAGCTCGTCAACCCCTTGCCTGCCGCCCCTGGCGGTGTGAACCCCGTGAAGCTCGCGCCCGGTGAGAAGATTCCCGAATCGCTGAAGTCTGGCGACATCAACGCCAACGTGAAGCTCGACCCCGAGTCGTACGAGAAGGCCGACGCCGCTATTGCCGGTGGTTTCTCCGCCGATCAACTGCCCCCCGTCTCCAAGAACATAATTCCCGAGTCGAGCCTGCCTATCGTCGGCGGCAATGACGTTGCCATCAACTCGGCCGCCCCCGCTGCGACAACCGCCGCGCTGGCTGGCGCCGTCCCCCTGGAGAAGAACAAGGCCGCTACCTCCGCCCCAGTCAAGGAAGAGGCCGTCCCTGCCGTTGTCAAGGAGAGCCAGGAGGCTGCTGGTGTCTCTCCGGAGGCCAGCGCCATCCCTACCGAGGTGACGGAGAAGCAGCAGGTGGAGGACGAGCTACTGAAGAAGGTCCCCGAGGCCCCTGTCACCTCGGACGGCACCACCACCGCCAACAACCAATCCTCCATTTCCCCCACTGCCGTTGTTGGTAGCGTCACTGCTGCTGCTGCCGCAATTGGTGCCACTGCCCTCGCCACTGCCACGTCCGCCAAGGACAAGGCCGTCGAGCAGGCCGGTCCCACGGTCCAGAAGGCGACTGCGTCTGCCAGCGATGCTGCCGCCAAGCTGCCCGTGTCTGTCAAGCAGGTTCTGCCGACCTCTATCCAGGAGCAGCTTGCCACCACGGCCGCCGGCGGCGAGGCCGAGGCGTCGAATGTTCCGGCTGAGGTGAAAGAGTCGATCCAGCAGGCCGGCACCAGCCCCGAAGCTGCCGCCAACCCCACGGCCATCCAGGAAAAGAAGGCCGTTGAGGCCGAGCTGCTGAAGAAGGTTGATTCTGGCGCGCCCGGTGAGGGTGCTTCGGCTGCCGCACCCGCCACCAAGTCTTCCGCAGCTGCCCCCGCCGCGGCCTCCACCCCTGCCGTAGCTGCTGGTGCCGCTTCTGCTGCTGGTGCCGCTTCTGTTGCCGGTGTCTCTTCTGCTGGTCCTGCCTCTTCTGCTGGTCCTGCTGCTTCTGCTGGTCCTGCTGCTTCTGCTGGTCCT